CTCACTCCCCCCCCTCTCACTCCCCCATCCCTCTCCTGAAAGTAAAAGATTTCTGGGCCTAGACCAGTAGCACAGCTTACAGACAGCCTGACAGTTTTGTAGATGTGCTTAGTATATTACATCTACCTTATTTATGAGGTTATGTTCGGTTCCAGGCTTGTTAGATAGATACATTATTTGTCAATAACTGTAGATTTGGTTATTGCCTTCTCAGAAATGTAGATTATATATCTTTTTCTGGACTGATGACATGCGTATTCGTTTGAAGAAACTGAAGATTTGGTTATTTGTTAGTGACTGTCGATGTGATTATTGCCATCTCACCCATGAGGCTGATGTTCATGCTGTCCTGAAAGCCTTGCTTGGCAAACACCACAATGTTGATGATGTTGGAGGCCACGCCGAACAGACTGAGGAGACCAGAGATGACCACCACGTTGACCACTTGGACAATGAACCACTGTTGGTCGCTTACAATATTTGCATAATATGAACCAGAAGGTGATGGTGTTGTCAGTGGCAAGCTCTGGTTGTCATCGCGAGAGTAAATTGAGTTTTTTCCCCATGTATGGGAAATCGACATTCTGGGTGGGAGAGACGTGTGGGACATCGACACCACAGTTACTTTAGCGCCAGACTCCTCCCCTATTTCAGGCACAGACCTTGATTTATACACTCAGTACAAAGGACGTATGAAAGACAAAAAATAACGATAATTTAAGATCGTTCTTTCTGTTTGATTATGCAATACGTCTACATCATAACAGCTATTCCTTTAAAAAATCATTAAAATTGTTCGATAAGAGTGTGTTACTTGTTAAGATAAATGAGTTACATAATTATTTTCGATAAGACTGGCCATTTATCCCTATTAACGTAGTTGGATGGTTTTAGTAATGCTGAACGTCAGAGCTGAAAGTCTATAAAACCATTATTTTCATCATTTAAAGCAGACATCCGGCACACAATTATAAAGATCCAAATGCCCCAGCCATTGCAGCTACACTATCGACCATCAGTCAAGACGGGTAAATGCCTTCGTTTGTCAAACTAAAAAAAACCACAAATCTTTGTTTCGTCTGGCTTTGTCCCCGCGTGCTCGTTACCACATTTGATTATTTTTATTTTTACATCATAGCTTATAAATCGACAATTAGGAAACTCCAGACAGGTGTCTGTAATAAATTGTAATTATAAGTCGACCCACAGTGGTAATGAGAAACACAGTGCATGTTTGATCATCGATTTGTCCTCACGTCATCGCTATAATAATAATAATAATTTATTATTTGCCTCATATTTTCCACTCGTGTGAACAGGGTCTTGTCCGTTTGATCGTTGGTGATTTGTCTCGCTTTATTGGACTTTCCTGAGTTGAAAAAAAATTGTGTTTTGGATAATGATAGATAAACGGTATGCACTTTACAATATTATACATTGTTAGTTTAGTACAGGGTTTTACGGCGCTCACAACTGCATAAGTTATACATTGTTAGTCTAGAAAAATTGTTAGTCTAGCAAACACGATGTCATTCTAAAACAATATTAATTTCATGGGAAGCACACACTGTAAGCAACTCTTATACAGGCGCTAGAACACTAACATACTGACGAGATCTTTTGCTGTCTAAGGTATCCATTCCCATCTAGATGAAGCCAGAAAAGTTCGTGTAAAGTGCCTTACCCAAGGACACAACGCCGGGTCTGTGCCCCGAATCTCAAAACTACCAACCTCACGATTACGAGTCCACGCATTCTGACAGCTAGAAAGCCGGCGCCACCGACATTATTTATTTAAATATTTTATGAGGCGGGTTTCGACTCTGCCTGTCAAGGCCTACTACCCGGGCTGAGAGGAATACAATGCCACAGCAGGAAGACCCGGGCTGAGAGGAATATTATGTCACTGCAGAGAGACCCGGGCTGAGAGGAATATTATGTCACTGCAGAGAGACCCGGGCTGAGAGGAATACAAAGCCACAGCGGGAAGACCCGGGCTGAGACTGAGAGGAATATAATATCACTGTAGAAAGACCTGGGTACGCGATAACAAATCCTCTGTATACGAGAATCAAACATGTGTCCTCTACGAGTGACGGTGAGCGCCATGACATCACACCATAGACGCCGGTAACGTTTTTGTCTATTGTGAAAGGATGGACACCTTGTCTCAATTGTGGCGTCGGTCGCCTAATGGTTAGGCTCCCGGACTCGCAACCGTAAGGACGTGGGTTTGAATCCCGTCAGGGACCCGACGTTGTGTCCTTGGGAAAGGTATTTTACAAGAATTTTCCTCAGTTCACTTGGGTGGTAATGGGTAGGCAGATATGGACAGCGAAAGATCTTGTCAGTTTGTTAGTGTTTAAGCGCTTAACCAGCTACTTGCACTGTATGCTTCCCGGGATGCTGAGAATGTTTCTGGGTATTCTATGGTCTGCTGGGGTAATAATATAATGTAAAGCGAATAGAGCTTGCTGTTGAGCGGAGGTATGCGCTACATAAATGCTATTTATTATTATTAAATACACCTCCATTTTGTTCAAGGGCAGGGTGACATTTTTCGCCGAAAATCTCTACATGTTATATAAAAAGAAGTTCAAAGTCTTTACAAGTGAGTCGCCATTTTGTTCTCTATTGAAAGATAGAAGGCACACGAAGCAGGGGCAGACCAAAAAGAACTTTTTTTTTGGGGGGGGGGGATCTGAATAGATGTATGACGGGGAAACACCAAGATACTATAGGATTCATGAGATTACTCGAGCAGAGAAATGAAGGGGGCACCATGGGTTGGTCCTGACATACAGGGTCGACGTCCGCTATCTAAATAATCTAAATTGTGTCGGTGGGGTCATAAAAAAACATGCATTTGAAATATGCATTAATCACACACAATTCACCAGCATATTTTTAATTTCATCAGGCACCCACCTGGAACCGATAATTATTCCTGTTCCACTAAGCACTCAATAATCTCCATTCTCTACAATACTTTTCTGCTTTTGCGATATCTCCGTTAGTTCAGTGGCTATCATGCTGGACCAAGGGGCAGAATGATCTTGATCCGAATCCCAGACTGGTCGTTCTTAAACTCGAGTCGTTTTGTGGAGTTTTCAAGGTTCTCAACCCACTTGGCTCGGTTCTTCTATCGGAGACGGACGTTAAATGCGAAAGTTTTACCCCTTAAATAACGCAACAGAGTTGCGATAAGGATGTTAAACCAACACATGCGTCTTGGAGAAACAAAAACAGACAACTTAAATGAGAACATGTTTTATATCAAGTTTAATAATTTCTGCCTGCACCAATACAACATGGTAAATGGACTACAAAGCTAAATAGTATCACAAAAAAATTTCAAATAGTAAATAGTATTATAATAGTTTGGGAGATCTTTTGGGATGAGCAAAATTTTAGTTAAGTAAATAGATGCAATATGGAACTCCGGAGGCTAGCCAGTTCTTCTAAAAATTACCCATTTTCTGTGGGGATGTTTGTGGAAGTTACGTAATGCCTCTGAAAGTTACCCAGTTTTTGTGGAACACGTAGTTAGAAGCCAAGTACAAGTCTCTGGACGTTGCTTTTGATTGATTGATTGGGTAGATGTTTTACGGCACTATCGACACAATTTTGGTCATTTAAGAAATTTGCCAAAATGTCTGTAGAAGATAAGTAAATGTATCGAACATCTTCCCAAAGTATCGGGAAGTTACGCACATCCCGTGGAGACCACGTCACATATTGCAGTTCCACGACGACATACATAAAATATTTTAGTAGGCTTATTATTTTATTATAGTAGAAGGTTTTACGGCGTTCGCAACTGCATAAGGTCATATGAGCGCCATTTAGTAGTAGGCTTATCAAGTTATCAAAAGTCAAACATAAAAAAATGATCACGTCTCCAACGTGCGTCAAAATTGGCACGTAATGTTTTCCTGGTTCATACGATGTCTTTCAAAGTCAACCGATGTCTAGCGAGGCAACCAGATGTTTAACAAGGCCATATCAAGTCTAGTGAGTTCCAACGAAATAATATAGTGAAGTAGTGAAGTGAGTTCATACAATGTCTAGCAAAGTCATCCGATGACAAGCGAGGTCACATGATGTCTATCAAGGTCAACCGATGCTTAACAAGGTCAACCGATTCTTAACAATGTCAACTGATGCTTAACATTGGCACCCGGGCGATGTCTAACAAGGTCATATGATATTTGGCGAAGTCATACGATGTCTAGCGAGGTCACATGATTTCTATAACAAGGTCACATGATGCCTAACAAAGTCTACCAATATCTAACAAGGTCTACCAATATCTAACAAGGTCTACCAATATCTAACAAGGTCTACCAATATCTAACAAGGTCACCCAATATCTGACAAGGCCACCCAATATCTAACAAGGCCACCCAATATCTAACAAGGTCACCCAATATCTAACAAGGTCACATGATGCCTAACAAGGTCAACCAATATTTAACAAGGTCAACCAATATATAACGAGGTCAACCAATATACAACGAGGTCAACAGATACTCAAAAGGGCAGCAGGTGTCTAACAAAGTCACCAGGGCGATATCTAACAAGGTCTACCAATGTCTACCATACAAGGTCAACCAATATATAACGAGGTCAACCGATACTCAAAAGGGCAGCAGGCGTCTAACAAAGTCACCCGGGCGATATCTAACTAGTAGTAGGCGATATCTAACTAGGTCATCCAACCGGTGTCTTCCGAGGTGACCCGAGACCCCCCGGAGACAGCCGAGAGCCGATGATTTCCCAGTGACGTCAGACCAGGTTGGCCTCCTTTGCCATGGAGTAGAAGACAGAGTCCGTGTTGGCCAGCAGTTTGTCCGGTGTGTCCAGCTCCTGTATCCGGCCCGCGTCAAGAACCATAATCCTGTCGTCACGAAAAGGAAGCAGAGAAGTAATACTAATATTTAAGAATATTGATAGAGATAATA